ACTCGTTCAGCGTCAAAAACGCAAATATGTCGTTATCAAATCGAGGTAAATTTTGCAACTTCGGTCGCGCAAATCGAAAAACGAAGGGGTCTTGGCACATCTAGACCCTATGAGCTTTCATTTAAAACAAATCCGAGGAAAATCGGTCCAGTAGTTTCCGAGATCGAATTAGCACAAACTGTCCAGCGGCAAAAACGCTAATATGCCGTTATCAAATCGAGGTAAATTTTGCAACGTCGGTCGCGCAAATCGAAAAACCAAGGAATGTTGGCACGTCTACAGCCTAAGAGCTTTAATTTAAAACAAATCCGAGGAAAATCGGTCCAGTAGTTTCCGAGATCGAATTAGCACAAACTGTTGGAGGCCAAAAAAGGCCTTAGGATATTAAATATATAGATAGATTTCACGAACATATCAATATTTCAAGGTGTGAAAGAATTCCTTAAAATATATTCACATGTCGTATTCGGTTATATTATACTATCGCAATGTTCACCTAGACCGTCTTTTATTAAATACCATAGAGAGGAGGGTTTATTGCGATCGTTTTTAAAAGCACAACCTGAAACTCCCTATTTTACGATCGGTGAATCGATAAAATAGAGAAAACGATGATTACACCAAATATTCTGATGGAACGCTATCAAATCTAGAACCTCTAGAAGGGACGAATTTCCTTGTGTATTTTAAGACACTCTGAGAGATATGTATAAAACGAAGAGGAAAATCCTTTTTTTTCGTCGACGGTCCTCATCTTTGGTTCCGTTGCTGTTGTTTTAAGCTTGCCTGAGAGCTTTGTTTTTTTTTTGTTCATTCTTTTTTGCCGCTTCTTTCTAACTCTCTTTTCGCGAAACGATTCGTTTTGCGTGTTTTCTCGCCGAAAGGTAAAACCAGTTTCATCGCACATTTGTTCACCAGCGCTGCCGATGCCAGCGTGAATTGGCCTAATTTATTTCTCATCGACATGTGGTCAAAAGCATTTAGAACCAACCCTATAGAGAAATCTAAAAATTAACAAAATTTACTCCCTTTCAATGGCTAAAAATGAGTGAGAAGGACTTAATAGTCAAAAAGGCATAGGGAGACAGTCAGAAGTCAGGAGAGACTTCATTTTGCCCAACACTTAGAAAAAACTCTGGTTTCAATTACCGTTATGGTGCGTTCCATATTAACGCAGCTGAACTAAATACTAATCCGGGTCAGAACAGTCAAAAGTGGTATTTTTACCGTAACTTTTTCCTCTACGTTGGTAATTTTACCAATACGTTGGTATAATTATCACTTATGTTAAAAAATACTACCACGATTGGCAATAATGACTCACATTCATCAAGAGCTCATATGGAACTCCTCTGTCATGGTAAATTTAACCAGAGTTTTTTCTCGGTAAAGTTGAGTGAAAATATCCATGTTTTTAGTTTTCGGGAGAAACCCCCTTATAGTATCCTCAAAAAATGAGTAGCGACTGGTTTTTGGCCTGCCCATAGAAAGCGCACAGAGGTTTATATTACCTGTTTCACAATTTAAAGCACCTGATACGGCAGATTTAAACTTTAGGCCGTTCTTTTTCAAAATATATTTTAGAGCCACGAACTTAGAAACCTAGCATTACTCTCATTTGATATCACAATTTCGGGCAAATTTTGCGCCAAAATTGTCGTTAAAAATTCAGTCTCATAAAATGGTATAGGACTTAGACTACTTGATTTTGTGATTTTTTGTATATAGGTTCCTTCTCTGTAGATAGATAGAAAAATGATTCAATCGTAGATTTATTTTTCCTGTTCCAGTTTTCTTTTTTAAAGTCCATGGCTGAGGTTGAAAAGACATCTCTCCATTGCCACATTCAAACATCTGTAATTTTTCCAAGAGGAAAGTGATTTTGACACCTGTGTCTTATAATTTTTTTGGAAGTGTTTTTGAATAAGTGAAGACAGTCTTCAAATAAATTTAAAAAAACAAAATCTGTTGGTTTGCTTTATTTCAGGTATTTTAGGAAAGTATAATGTCTATAATCTAAGGATTTTCAACGTCGCAATTGGAGATACGCATTTTTCAATTTTTATTAGCCATTGATGTGCGTGTTGCCTTTGAAATAACATCAAAAGATAAATTCAAATCTCAAGGGGAAAACCCAGGTCTGCCAATAGGTAAAAAGGATTAAAAACAAATTTGGAATACATTATGGGCTGGGTCGATGTAAAAATGACCGAGCAAGGAAATTACTGATTGAGATTTCTACCATGCTACTTTCCCCCTTTTTTGTGTCATAATAAACGGAGAAAATATAATTAGGTGTGTAAACAAAATTAGGCAAAATTCAGAGTTTTTCAATATTTCGCATTCATTATAATTAGTTGAAAATGATATAACTACGGTTACTTACTCCACAGTTACATTATTTTTTTTAAAATGCAAAAAAGAGATCGAAAAAAGTATCATTTGAAGTAAATGAGACCAATAAAATGAGATTTAAGTCAAGAAAGACTAAAAAATAATTTTTTGACTCCAAAGCATGATTGAGTTTAAAAGGACTTAAGAATATGTTATTTCAGATTTCTAATCTTTCATGTTCAAGGCATGGAATTGCCGGATTATAATATACATGCTTGATAAGTCTTCAAAAATTTTGGTTTTTGAGTAAACACGTAAAGTTTCAGAAAAAAATAAACAAAAAACCTTACCAAACGTCATGTTCATACAGCCAATATTATTGTCAAAGATGCGCCCATTGGAAAACCCTGTCAAGTACTGTAGATCGCGTTTAAGTGCATATAGCGTGGTTTAGTTAATGGGATCCTCATTACTTCAGTGATTTCTGAACCCAAATTACTACCCCAGTGGAAGAAAGCATGAAAAGCATGGTGTGATGAATAGTATCGTATTCCATGTGCACTGAGACAAATCTCGGAGTGAGTTTCACTCCAGCACCCAAAATCCTCACACACAACTAGGGTGAAATACGGGTTGATTTTCGATTTTGTGCTTATCAAGCTATCGGTTGAAACATTGGGAATGTTCTAAATCAAAGTGAGCTATTTTTGGCCGCTTAAAATTCATAACGAATCCATCTGAGGGGGAGGGTAGCATGGATCCTAACTTTTTTTTTTCAAATCGCAGCCTCTATTTTGAGATATATTGCGTTGCGAGGAAGACACTTTTTGGCGCAAAGTTGAAACCCTTTTAAAATAGCGGCCGCTTAAAGTTGAATACGGTGGAAAAACCGGCACCCCGGCAGGCTGTATATCAACAGATTGCTTTGATACTGGGTATTTTGGGGGTTTCTTGGAGTGCTGAGCCCGATTTTAACATCAGTTTCAACATTATACATACTGAAAGTAAGAACTTGGGGTTTTTCAGATATTATTAAGTGCAAATCTCCGCGCTTAGACTACTACATCATAATTCTGTGACTGCGTCAAATCGATTCTTATCGGCCGGTTCATCACAACAGCCCAATTTCTCTTGGGATTCCCACGCACTTTTCACGAGAGCATGCCAACAATAATAATCGCCTTAATCGATATTGGTGCCATCTTAAGACCACACCCTTCTGAGGGATACACGTGTTGGATCCTCAACATAAGCCCCGTATGCTACCAACCAATCCAGATGCGCATTTCACAAAATCTGATGAGCTGATTCGAGTTCACTTGTGAATCAGTGGCGTGGCGTGCTTTGCGATGAATCGATTAGTCTGCCATTCAAACCAACATGGAAAAGGATCGATATAATCAGGGTGTTCGCAACGAGCACTTCAGTAGTCGATTCTTTACCATAGCGTGAAATGGGGGAATATTTCTAACCGCCTCGCCACTGCTGTGAATCTGCTGAGGTAAACCCGCGGCGGTGAAAAAATACGTGGTGCTGTCTTTATTGCACATTTTTCAGGTTTTGGTCCGCATAAAATTAAAAACTCGGGAGAGGGTGACTCCGATGTCAATGACCTTCCTCAGGCAGACGGTTTAAAATTAGATAAGAATCAACTTTTTAAATCGGAATATAATCCTTCATGAACCTACCCTCTGCAGGTGATTTTTCAATAAATTTTGGGGCTGTTTGCTTGATGGAAAATAGATACGAAAGGTAATTAAAGAAAACATTTAAGAAGAAAAAGAAGAATTAACAACACTATAAAATATGAAAAATGTAACTGATTCAGATCTATTGATAATTGAGTCCTTTTTTTGATTTTAAAAAGAATTTCACAATATTTGTATCAGAGTTATAGCTTTTGGCAAATATATTGATCATGGCAGTTTCTTCTTCTGCTTCTACTTCTTCCGCTTCTTCATCTTATCCTTCTTTGTCCGCTTCTTCTTCTTCTTCTTCTTCCGCTTCTTCTTCTTCTTCTTCTTCTTCTTCTTATTCCGCTTCTTCTTCTTCTTATTCCGCGTCTTCTTCTTCTTCTTATTCCGCTTCTTCTTCTTATTCTTCTTCCGCTTCTTCTTCTTATTTTTCTTTCCCTTCTTCTTTTTGCTCTTCTTATTTTTGTTCTTCTTCCTTTTCTTCTTCTTCTTCTTCTTCCACTTCTTCTTCTTATTTTTCTTTCCCTTCTTCTTTGTTTTGCTCTTCTTATTTTCTTCTTTTTCCTTTTCCTTTTCTTTTTCTTCTTCTTCTTCTTCTTGCGCTTCTTCTTCTTATTTTTCTTTCCCTTCTTCTTTTTGCTCTTCTTATTTTTGTTCTAATTCCTTTTCTTCTTCTTCTTCTTCTTCTTCTTCCTCCTCCTCCTCCTCCTCTACTTCCGATGTCGTCCTCATTTGACAGAAATGAAGTATTCTACTATCTGAGTCTGCTAGACAGGGGTAAAAAAACCATTAAAGAAGCAAAATAGACTGGGATGAAAGAACATATAGCTAACGGCTCCCTTCTAGGATAATTCGATTACGAAAGGGGCGGAAGATGTAGCTAGATGCAATGGCGGACAGGACAGACAATGTAGCGTAGAAAAAGGAGAAAAAACGGCGGATGCGGACTGGGGCGCGTCGCACGGCGCTCGCCGGTCAGTCAGTGGCTTTGTGACTCCGTTGCGAAAAGGAGGAGCTGCGAATAGCGAAAAATTCAGCAGCGATTTTCGACATCGCGACGGGCGCTTAGGTCTTCTGACCGAAAAATTCAAACTGTGCTCATGCCATCGATCGTGAAAACCAACCTCAATTCTGCTCGTGCCGGCACATTTTAATATTGTGTCTCGGTTCCAAAGTCCTTTTTTTTTGTTTAGATTTTTTGTTGTTATTTTTTTCTTTTGTTTTTTTTGTTATTTTATTTTGATTTTTTTTTAATTTCCCTATATAAGTGAAAAACGGCGTGCATTTTTAGTTATAGTTATTTCCTGTGCTCTGTCTTCCTTTCTAAAAAATTGAAAATTTTGGAAAATAGCGAGAAAATCCTCTTGGCTTGATTAAAAAAGGTAAGTTTCTAAGCATACTCGGACAAGGCTTCCTCTGGGAGTCTCTCTATGGTCAAGGTTCAAAAAGTCATCGTTGAAAAGAGTTGTTCCGTGAAGTTTTATTTGAGTCCTGGGGCATAAATCTGACCTCAGTTTTGAAAGTTGACCATATAAATCTAATTATTTTTACCTTGAATATTGAAAAACAAAATGTCGAAATAGTTTTTTTGAGTAAAAACTGTTAAAAATTCCAACATTACGTACAATTTTTATCATCCTTCTTTCTTAAAAAAAAAAAAAAACCTTAAATTATAAATTTCCCAGTTTCTAGTACATGTTTTTGACCGTAGGTTGTCGAACCCCTAAATGACCAAGTTGTGACTTAAAGCTAGCCTAAACGCATTATGAATGTGTATTAATTGCACATCCAGTCAATCACGTTCGATTTATTTATTTCGAAAGAGGGTGACATAGACCCCCAATAAAAGGTTGGCTGAAGGAGTTGGAGGAGATCAAAGGATGTCGTTATTTCCAAATTATGTCTGAGAGGATCGGGGGTCAGTGGCGATTGAGTATCGCCAAGTGCCCTAATGTAGTAAATTTGGCGAATTTATATGCATGTATAAAAATTTAATACCCTATGGGGTTTGCTGTATATGCTTATCCCAGCATTCTGGATACGGGGCCGTATAGAGTTAGGCTCTGACCATAATCCTTAATTCCACCTGTAAGCGTAGCAAGCCTTGGGTTTCAAATTGGCTAAAACCCAATTCTGTCCAACTGAGGTCGAGGTACATAAAATCTTCGGTGAGAGAAGTCATTTGGCTGGAGCCTATATTTGTCGAATGTTGGCGATTTCCCGAATTTGCCCGCAGACAGAGTGACGTTAGAACTTGTACCTGTAAACGCGGTTAGTCTGCGGAAAAAGTGGCTTTTGTTTTAGTTAGTTCTTTGACCTCTAGTGAAAAAGATGTTATTGACTCCAACAGCTTCAAAGCATAATCGCATGGATAAAGATGGTCAGAATTTACTTAAATGAATACCTGTGAAGGCTGTATTACACGGCATCGTACCTCGGTATGAAAAAAATCTGTGAGACAATACGGTGATGGATTGTCTTAATATGTTTTTTATCCTCCAAGTGTGGTTCGTAATAGGAGAAAATAGTGTAATTGAAAGAAGAAAGATTGAAAGAAAGAAGGAAAGTGAATGGAAAAACTTGAGGAAAGTCGACTTTTATCAGACTATCGCAGAGTATCTAAAAGCCTAGACGGTGCTCGTGTGACTTATTTTGGATGAATCTTTCGTAACAAGATAGACCGTAACTGTCTTTTAGCACATTTTTCCTCATAACCGGATCTTGTCAAATAAAATAGAAAATGTTGGGCGTTTTTCTTATTCTCTTCCATTTCGGTCCAAAGCTACGCGTGAAAAATTTCTCCTGGAAAAGTCAACAAAGAAAACTTTCTAACCAGATGATTTTAGCTGGAGCCAATTTCTCTTGGCCCAGCGTATTTTTTAAATTACAAAACAAATCCATCAATGTGAGAAGTCGATTTTCCGCTGTTAAATGTGCGTTTTCGGCTGTTTTTTCCATACTTATTTTTAAAATATAAAGTAAGTCGGATAGGGCATAAATGTATATGAAATTTCATAAAGCATTGATCATGCTGCTGGAAGGTATATACATCTACAATATTAACACAGGCTTTAAATATTTGACTTCGAGTCCAACAACATTTAGATTTGACCAGTTCATTCATATCATAACGGTGACGAAAAGGGGAAATTTTACCGTCAAAAATGAACTTACGAACAGGTCACACCCTATGCAAAATTCATCTAGAATATCATGCGCAAAATGTTTCCTCCAACAGAACTGTGGTAAAGAACATTAAAGCAACTAAAAAATCAAGGGGTGCCTCGGCAGTTACGCAGTGACTTAAACGAGCGAGTAGAAAAGACAAATCAATTTAATCGAGTTTTACACGTATGAACTGCCTCGGGAAAAAGGAACCAACTTTTCCTGGGCGCATATTACTTAAAAACCCTATATTTGTACTTCCTAAACCTATAACAAATTATAAATACATGAGATACCCTTCTTGCCGATACGAAGCCCAACCTTTAACGCACGCGTATTACAATGTAAGGAGCACTAAGCGGAAATAATAAACCTGGATCGTAATTCGAAAATTTAAGTTATCTCGAGTGTCTAAGGATAATTGCTTACCATTAGACAAAAAATCCTGAGAATCGGTCTGGAATACATTCATCTGAGAATATTACTCAGACAAAAATAAGTGATTGAGGAATCAAATAATGTATTGTAATTAAAGAATGTGGCTGACGGAAAAAGAAGGAGAAATCATGCCCCGTAAAATTCAAGTAAGAATTACGGATAGTTGAGTGGATCGAAAATATAAAAATCTTTCCAGGAACCACCCAAAAAAAGAAAATTTTAATAAAGGAGCAGTAAAACTAACGGTGGGACGGCAGTGGAGATTTTGCAAGTTGGTAAAACTGTTTTTCCTCTACTTAAACCCATTAAAAATATCGATTTTAAGTGACGCAAGTTGTTTCATCTGGAATCGATCGTTTTCCGTACATTATAATGGAGGAAAAACAATATTGCCAACTTTCAAAGATCGGCAATGGACGACTCTGACCATAATCAGCTCAACTGTACATCACGTTGTCTGATTTTCTTTACATGCAGAAAATGAATATAAATCTTGAAATATTTCATGGATTCACCCTAGGGTACAAAGAGTATAATTAAAGAATTGAAAGGCAGAATATTGCTCAGTTTTTGAGAGTAAAAAAAAAAAATTATAGGAAGAAATCAGGCAACGTCCAGTATGGTTATATGCTGATTTGTATGAATTTCGTCCATTTTACATCATTTAATGTGAGCATCATTTTCAAATAAAAAATTGCTTTCAATTACTGTCACGTAGGATAAATCAGAACGAAGCGAAAAAAGTAAAAAGAGATCAATTTACGTTTCACTTGAACTGCACAAGATTTGTATTAATAACAAAATATTTACCGGGGCTCAATACTAAATATATAAATAATAAATGTATGAATAATAAATAATTTATTATGTGCAAGTGCGAACTCCGATAAAAATTGTGTTACTTGTACATTTCACTTTTTTGAGGAAGATATTCTGAGGAATGAGCTGAAATTTCCTTAACAAAAAGAGGGCAAATAAATAGCTTTACAGCCTCTTTTTTATGCTGCTATGCAACATGAACAAAATTTCAGTTAATAGTTTTTGGATCTGATGCAATTAAAGGACTATTAAAGCGCAAAAATGACCAGGCGGTGCCCTTGATGAGAAGCACAGGCTTGTAAGCTTGTTCCAATTGTTAAATAAATATTGCTCTCGAGTATTTAAAGAGACGCATTTAAACCTCCGTTTCCTCATTCTGCTGGACTTGCGTCGCTTTCTGCCCCCGCCCTTTTCATAGTAAACACCTGCCAATTGACTTGACGTTGACGTCAAATTTTGTTATACTGACCTGTTCATATATTTTACAAAAATACAAAAGCAAGAACGAGGAAAAAGCACATTTTAATCATTTCAATAACTGCCGGACTCTCCGTAGAATGCATTTTTTATGAAAATTTTAAAGGAGCGTCACGGACCACAATACCCGATGTTGCCTGAAAGCGCTCGACGAAGGAATTAAGTAATAAATAATGTCCAAAGGTTGCGTGTTGTTGTTGTTTGCATCACAGAACAACTTTTTTTCCAACTTTTTGACACACGTTGTAACGTCGAGTTGGATGCAAATATCATGTTTAGTGCTTCATCAAAAAACTTTCATTCCTTATTGTTTTAAAATATTTTCGATTGGAAAAATGCTAAGCCATAACATGTAGAATGGGAATCTAAAATTTGGCAAGTGCCATCAGGTGTTAAAATCGTACAACTGTATTGTTTTGTAGAATCGTGCACTTTGAATCTCTACATTTACATGAATAATGGATTTTTCCATACATCAATTTCCATACACCATACAAACTACTTTTATTTCCTTTTAACGTGGAAAAGATAAGATTTTGAAAAATTCCTGCATCCACCTGGATGACCAATGCAATGGATCACTAGACAAGGTACGAATTTAAGCATTCCGGTACATGATTCTTAACCAAAATTTCACGTAGAACACGATTCGTGCAACGAAAATTACTGAAACCAACTCCTAACGAAGATATTAACCTTTTCATTTCACATTGGTTACGAGGAATTTGAACTGCCCGCTCACAAGAAACTCAAAGCTCTACGTGAGTCAAATCGCGCACGACAACGGTCTCAGCAAGTTTCTTAATCGAGTAATATTCATTTCCCACCATGTGTTGTTCGAACTGTAGGCAATTTGCTATAGCTGAGCCAAAGCGTCAAGATTGAGGTTGCCAGATTTTTACATCGCGCAGAGACTGTCATGATAACGTTTAGCGCGCGATGTGAATCACGTAAAGCATGAGTTTTCATGAGCGGGTGGTTTGAATTCACGCATCAAGAATCATTAAATATCGTTGTGAGGAGTTGATTTCGATAATTTTCATTGTGCGCATCGTGCTCTACGTGAAATTTTGGTTACGGATCATATATCAGAGTGCTGAAATTCGTACCTTGTCTAGTGGTCCATTTTCGTTTCTTTGGATCGATCGAGGCGTTACAGATTTACTATCGTGCAACAAGGAACGTTACCTCATATTGCGCATTGTGCATTTTAGATCTGATTCGTGATTGGGTTTGTTTATTCAAAGAACAAATGCTCACTTTGCAGTTGCATATGAGTGATTAAGTCCGAGCGCATTAGCGAAATCCGCTCCTAGAACGGTCGTCAGAGAGTTAAACAAATAAACCATTTTAAATACGCTTGGCCATTACGTTGAGCAATGCCCGTTTCCATGCCGTATGCACTTTAATGTTTAGCTCCTTTGAGATGCTGTAGTTCTAATGGGTTAGTGGTCGGTTGCGCTTGTTACAGAACAGAGACTTT